ACCCAGGTCACAGTCATCACTGAGAGACCCAGGTCACAGTCATCACTCAGAGACCCAGGTCACAGTCATCACTGAGAGACCCAGGTCACAGTCATCACCGAGAGACCCAGGTTACAGTCCATCACTGAGAGACCCAGGTCACAGTCATCACCGAGAGACCCAGGACACAGTCATCACTGAGACCCAGGTCATAGTCCATCACTGAGAGAAGTCAGGGCAAGAACTCAGCGGGGAGTGGAGCAGAAGTTATGGAGGAGCGCTGCTTACTGGCTTGCTCTCTGGCTCATGTAGAGCTAGCATTCTTATATGCCCAGGCCTACCTGCCTAGGGATGGCGCTGCCCACAGTGGGCTGGGCCTTCCTAGATCATTGCAGATCTAGGAGTGCTCTTCTGATCACTTGCTTGGTGTGTCCCTCCAGCCTGCTCAGACACGGGGATGCATGCTTCCTCCCGGAGGAGTGTCCGTGTACCTGGAAGGGGAAGGAGTATTTCCCTGGGGACCAGGTAGTATCTTCCTGCCACACTTGGTAAGTCCCCCGAACTGGCTTCATTTTTTTTGCTGGAAAGGGTATGATTTTCCCTTCATCTTGTTCATATTCATGGTGATTATTGCACTCACAAGTATATGTATGTGAAATAATACTGAGAAAATTTGTGACTATTTGATGATCAGACAGGTCTGTGAATATACATACTTATATGTTTGTAATCATGAAAACATATTTGCATATTTAGATGAACATATATATGAATGGGTATGAATAAAGGCATGTGAGTGAACATATATGAACATACATAAAAAGGCAAGTGCCATAGATCTAAATAAATTTGTTAATATAGCACTTAGGAAATTACAAATGTATATATTGTGTTTATATATATTTACATGCATATGCATCTATTTAGCACATTTATGTACCAAGTTGGTGACTTGCATTAAATATATATATTTGCATTTACTTGAATGGATAAGTATGTGAGTATGTGATTTGTGTTTTGTCTATGAATACAGAAATGCTCATATTCAGAATTAACGTGTATGTGGGTGTATTTTCACACTGTTCATTCAGTAATATTAGCACATATTTACAGAAGTATGCACCTGGATTGGATTGGTTTCAGTGGAGACAGACTGGGCAGGAGCCTAGCAGAGACTCCCAGAGAGTCATCCAGCCAGTGGCAGCTGGCCCCTAGCTTCTGTCTTATCTATGGTGGAAATGCTGCATTTTCAGCCCCAAGGATGAGTATTACATGTCCTCTGGTGTCAGTAGCATGGCTACACTCTAGGTCTAGCAGCCAGATTGTCTTCATACACACCAATGTGTGTGTGTGTGTGTGTGTGTGTGTGTGTGTACCACCAGAACCCGGGCTGTCTGACTCAGGAAGTCCCATGGTGGACTGTCAGGGCCCAGAGCCCTTTGCAGCTGTGCCCAAGTCTTGGAGTTCATGACTGTTGGCCAGAGCTGATATTGAATCTCATTGGCTTGAACTTGTCAGGGAGTGAAGTCTTCAGATCTTTTGATTCTGCCTTTAAAATACACTTCACATTTGACCGCCTCCTCATCTCCTGACTGCTGTGGCTCTGCACTGAACACCCGTCCTCTTGTCTCTAATCCACTGCCATCGCCTCCTGGGTAGCCCTTTCCCTCCCTTCTGCCCAGTCAGATGGAACCATCTCCAGCCTGGTCTTCCTGAGGCTTCCTGTCACTGCTAGGAAGAAGTCCCACCCTCTCTGGCCTTCTTGGACCTGTATCACTCAACTCTCCACTGCTCTGCGAACATCTCTACCCTCTTATCCTTGGGCTGTCCGTCTCCACCATTACCAACTGAATGTTCTTCAAGGTCATCACAGACCGCACTCTCTTCCCACAGTGCTCTTCTTCCAAATGCCCTTATAACTAACTTTCTGGGCTCCCTGAAGTCTCTGCTCCCATGTCTCTGATAACCTTGTTTAAAATGTGGCACATTTCTAAACACACCCTGCTTCCCTCCGTGCCCCATTCCCTGTGCTGCCCACCTGCTAAAACAGACAGGGTTCATCCTTCCTCTCTGGGAAACAAGTTTCACAAAGCCAGTTTCCCTTCTGCGCTGTTCACTGATATTTCTCAGACTCGTGGGAGAATGCCTGAGATGCGTCCATCACCAATCTTTTGAATGGGGGCTGCTGTGTTTGCTGAGTTCCTTCTTCAGGAGCACATCATGAGCATCCAGCAGGCAAAAGCTTCGGAGGCATTCCACATTGGAGAAAGTGTGCTCTAGGAGAGGTCTCTGTGTGTGTGTTTCAGTGTATGCCAGCGGGGTTCGTTCCAGTGCACCCTGCACCCCTGTGCCTCCACCTGCACTGTGTATGGGGACCGACACTACCGTACATTTGACGGCCTTCCGTTTGACTTCGTAGGAGCATGCAAAGTGCACCTGATCAAGGTGAATTCCTGGGGGGGGCTTACCCAACTGTCTCCACGGGCACCCAGAATAGGCAGGGAGCAAGACCTGTCAGATGTGTGGATGATCTGAACTCCAGGATGCTGCGTAATTGGGTGGGTGGGGCGGGCTGAATGCTGAAGTGCAGCTTCCAGAGACAACTTCCACAGGTCAGGGTGAGGAAACCGCTCCACTCTCCCTCGCAGCCTTGCCCCGCTAGTCCCAGTGACTTTTCTTCCTGTGGTAGAAAGAGTTCATGCCTTTCAAGTTTGGTAGCAATGGTACCTGGTAGTCTCCTGATCATCTTTATGGATTCTCTCACTTAATTTTTTATAGCAGTGGATGGATGGATTGTGTTAATTGTCCCCATGTGACAGATGTGACACCATGGGCCTGGGGAAGCTAGGGAACTTGCTAGAGATAACACAGCTAGGCGGCCCAGAACCAGCAAATAGGACTAGAGAAGTGGTAGCCAGCAGGAGTCATGTGCTAAAAGTCTTCGCCCATACAGTAATGGGGATGTGGGCGGCACGGGGAAGGCAAGCGTTCCCTAGAGAATGACGGGTACCAGTGGGATGTGGGGCAGTATTCCCGGGGACACTGATTTTCTTAGCCCATCATCTCATCGTCTGAGTATCGGCAATAACCACAGTGACAGGGCAGACATGCACTGGTGTATTTATTATTTATTTCTGTGGTCAGGGCTTGCATGTGCTGAGTGAAACGGGACCTTTCACGGGGTCTTGTCTATGGACAAGCACTGCGCTGGAGTCTTTCCTACCACTTCAGGAACTCCGCAAGATACAACAATTGCACGTGTGCCATTCCATTTCAGGCTCTTATTTGTCTATTTATTTTGAGATGAAGGTCTTGCCATGTTGTCCAAGACGAATTCAGACCCGCAGGTTTGAGTGCCTCCACCACGACCTCTTGAGCAGAAAGAATGCAGACAGGAGCTGTGGGGTGACCATATCTAAAAACTAATTTTAATTAGTTTTGAGATAATGTCTTAACACACACATACACTGCTTAGTTTACATGAACGAGAATAAATAAGACTCCATAGGTTTTTTTTTCTCCGTTTTATAGCATGTTTTGGGTATTATCACACATTGTCAGTGCATGCTAGGTTATTTTCAGTGCTGGCTGGAACATTCTACACAGAGAGTACCATGCCACACAGGGATAGGTGAGCTTTAGCTGGTTGCAATACTTCAATGCCACAGCAAGCACGTGTGTGACTGTATCTCTTAGGTCCTACAAAGTGACGTGTGTTTAAAGCGCTGTTCAGTATGGGCAAGCTTCCCACTCACACTATAAGACGGCATCCCTCTCCATTCTGGTCACATCCACTCACTCACTCATTCATCCCTCAGACCCTTTGGGGATAGTCACATCTGCTAAACACGGCACCAGGAAGCTGTAAAATGATTCTGAGCATCAGAGAACTGAAGTAAGCTGCCCAAAGCCAAACAGCGGATGAGAAGTAGATTCTGGATGGGAAGAGTCCTCAGCCAGTAGAGTTCTCGCTTTGCAAGTAGAGACCACATAAAAGCTGGGCTGCACTTGTAGTTCAAGTGCTGAGGAGGCAGAGACAGGCATACTCCAGGGGCTCCCTGGCCCAGCCTAGCCACCTTGGTGAGTTCCAGGCCAGTGAGAGGTCTTGTTTTACTGTAAAGGTGGACAGAATCCAACAATGATACCCAGGGTTGTCGCCCAGGTCCCACATTGCCTGCGCATAGCTGCCTGGGTTGCCGCCACCTCACACACAAACACACACTACCTTCACTCTGACGCTCACTAAAGAAATGGTTGGGACAGCCCCTCAGAGTCCACACCCTTTCTCCTCTGTGCTCCTCACCAGATGTGTCCTTCCCCTGGCTTCTCTCCCCCAGAGTACATCAGAGCTGGGCTTCTCCGTGGTGGTGGAAGATGTGAACTGCTACAGCTCTGGTGTCATCTGCAGGAAGTCCATTTCCATCAGTGTGGGCAGCTCGCTTGTCATCTTTGACGATGACTCAGGGGATCCTGTAAGGACCTGTGCCGGGGAAGGTTGTACAGACGGGGCACAGAT